GGGCCAGGATCTGAGCATGTCACTGAGGCCAGAAAGAGAGTCCACGGCATAAGGACACTCACCCTGGGTCACCTCTGGGGCCCATAATCAGCCAGGTGAGCCCAGGACTCCAGTGAGCTCTGAGACCCAGGCCCTGTGAACACAGAGGCTGGCCTGGCATGGGAGGGGCACCAGGGCCAGCAGGACCAGAACCATTGCCTGCGTCCATCGGCCTCACTGTGATCTCTGCCAGACCTGAGCCGAAGAACAGGGCAGCGGAAGGTGCTCCTCCAGGGCCCAGAGATCTTGCTGCCACCTCCCCCTCCGCTCTCCCAATTCCCCACCCAGCGAGCGTCAGGGCCTTACAGGCACTGCTCCCTCCCCGCCCCTACCGCCCTGTCCCTGTCCCTCTCCCAAGCCTCTCCCTCTCAGGGCTGCCCACCCCAAGTCCACCCCACCCTGTGCACTGTGCTCTGTGACTGTGACCAGCTCAGGCTGGCCAGGCCCCTCTGACCTCGCTCTGGCTCAGCCAGTCACACTTGTGTCAGAAGCCTTCTCTGCCCAGTCTGGAGTGAGGATTTGGACAGACACCTTTCAGAAATGGGGGTGAAGTATGTGTTCCGTTAGGTACCCAGAGCCTGGAGACAGGAAGGTCTTCGGGGTTCATGGGCCTGGCGACATTGTGCACTGAGAAGGCCCAAAACTGGCTGTTACTCCAGATGCTCAGACCAGGGCCCAGGTCGCACAGCAGCTGTGCCGGGTGTCAACCCACCCTGGCATCTTGACCCCAGCTCCACAGGGTCCTGAGCTTGTGCTCTGTCCCGTAGCCTGTGTCCATGACAGCACCCCGCTCTCCTGTCTGCGCAGTTCCTCCTACGTGAGACAGGAGCAGGTCTGTGGTTGAGTTGCCAACGTGATAAGAGAAAAGTGCCTGCCCTTCAGGCAGTGACTGCACTGGTGACGGCAGGGCCGGCTTCTGCCCAGGGCCGATGCCCATGTACCTGGCAGCCCATGCCAAGCCAGCTCCATCCGGAGATCAAAGCCAGTGAGCTAGACAGGCCCCTTTGAAGCTGCCCAGTGCTTGGGCCGAGCAGGTCAGGCAGCCCGGTGTGCCTCTCCAGAGGCAGGCAGAGCTTGGTACGTGGGCTCAATGGCCAACCCGGGAGGACACGCATGGCGGGCGAGTGTGTACCTGCCCTGCCGTCGTCCATTCTCCTCCCCAGCTGGCTCTCTCCCTTTCCTCCAGAAGTGAATGTCCCTGACCAGCAGCTCTTCACGGACTGCATGCAGCAGGGACCACATGACCCAGGCTGGCCAGGCGGGGTCCAGGGGACACTGAGAAGTGCACTGGAAACAGAGTGACTCTGTGTCTGAGCCCCTGTGGCCATCTGGTCTCCCCGAGAGATGCCCTTAGACTCAAGCTACCCAAAGAAAGCCTAGCAGAGAGGCAGACAGAGTTCTGATGACACTGTCTAACCTCCTGGATCCAGCTATACCTGAAGCTGCTCAAATATCCCAATTCTAGAAACCCATCAGTTGCCCCATTTTCATTTGTAAGGAAGGTGCCTGCCATTTGCACCGCTCTCCAGAGCTGCATATGGAGCTGGGCCGGTCGCTCCTCCCTGCTGCGGGGAGGGGGGCAGGGGAAGGAGCCATATCTCCTGGTGACTCAGCTCCCTTTGCCAGGGGCTGGCGTGCCCCAACCCAGCCACATCTACCTGAGAAGTCAGGGCACAGAGACCCCAAGGCAGAGGCCCCTCCCAGAAGCCACGGAGCTTCCAGCCCAACCTGGCCCTGCAGCCTCGAGGCCAAGCACATGGAGTCAGGGTTGGAAATTCAGGACCTGCAGAAGCCTCAGCGTGTCTTGGGTATTTCAGGCCTGGGAGCACAGAGGCCCAAGGGTGCTGGCCAGCCCCTCCCTGTCACCCTGCTCACTCTCAGGTGAGCACACTGGTTGGGGTTGCAGCCTCATCTCTCCAGCCTAATACAACTTACCCATGCACCCCAACCACCAGCGCCATCAGACCACGTAAACTTGGTACTGGGAGCCTGAGCTCCAGGGACAGTGTGACTTCTGGAGGGCCTGGCACACCTCAGGGTAAGCTCCTAGGTCCACGCGCCCAGGCAGCCCAGCACCCCAGTTACAGAACAGATGCCTACTGTGTGCCAGGCACCGCAGTCCATGCCCTGCAGGCCCAGAAGCTCCCAGTGCCCTGAAGGTGGTCAGATGACAGGTGAGAAGGACAGTGGCACTCCACCAGCCTCCTCCAGGACATCACTGGGTCACAGAACCCCAGGGCCCTGTGCAGCCTGTGGGTGGGGGGCTGTAGGCTGAGGGTCACGTCTGAGGCCCTAGGAGGCCGGATGGCAGCCCGGGGAGGAGACAGAGAGATGAGCAGGCTGGGGCACTGTCCTCTCCCAGCCAGACCAGCCCACACTGCTCCTAGGGAAGTGGACACAGCTACTTTTGCTCTCTGACAGTGCAGCAGGGCCAGCCGCTGTGGCTTATCTGACACAGACACCTTTGTGCCCCTGGCCTGGGCCCTGGGGTCTGTCACCCCAGTGACACAGGCCTCCCCGGCATCTCCAGGACAGGGCTGGCCTGCACACCTGGGTAGGGCCCTGAGAGGCTTAACACACCCACACAGGCCTCCCTTCTTCAGGGACATTTCCTGCGGTTACTGGGGCCCCAACACCCCCCAGGTTTGAAGGTGCTCACTGAGCCCCCTAGATCCCTAGAGTGGGGGCCTATTACCCCCCATGTCATGGCACCTGGCCACCGTGTGTCCACCCCACCACAAACCCATGCTTTCTGCTGACACCTACAGAACTCTCCTCCCGTTCTGAGGCCTGACCAACAAGCCTCCCCAAGTCTCATTCAGGATGGGTGCTGGCATTTCTCTCCACTGAGTCTCACCAAGTAGAACTGAATGGGGGTGGGGGGTACCTGCCTCTCAGACGTGGCCATGGCCGCAGCATTCTGTTGGTCTCAGTTCAGCCTCCAGCAGGTGAGAAGCACTGTGACCTGTGACTGACAATGCCCCACAATCAGCAGGGGCTCATCCCCCAACCCAGACAAAGTCTCCAGCTGCATGTGTCCACCAGAGCCTCTCTGTCTGCAGACTGCGCTCCACAGTCCCTGTGTGAGCAGAAGTCGGTCCCTTCAGTGGAGTCACATCTCCCTGTTTCTCCTTTAGGGGCCCTGTTTTTATTTTTCGGGGCAGAGGCTGTGTGAGGAAGGCGGAGGTGACTTCCCTGTGTCTCCCCGCTGGCTGGCACCCTTGCCCTGACCAAGATGTCTCCTCCGAAGGAGTTGCCTCTGCACCCTGGCCACACAAATCAACCCCCCAGTGCGATTTCTTGGCGTGCAAAGGCCCTGAAGCCCGTGCACGTGCTCTGCGGTGAGAATCAAAGACCAGGAGCCTGGCTCCGTGGGCTGCAATGTCCGGCTTCCGCCTGCCCACCGGGTGCAGCCATCCTTGCCCACTCCCCACAGTCCACCACTGCCCAGACCAGATGACTGCCTGGAATCCTCACATTTTCACAATTTCCCCCCATTTTTGTCTTTCTCAGTCTCTGCCTGATGTAAGTGACTCCAGAGATGGTTCACGGATATCACACATCTTAATTCCCTCCGTACTTCACCTCTGGGTCCCCTTCTCTTTTGCAGAAATCTACCTCTCTGTTTCTTATTTTGTGCTTCAATTTGTTTATATTTTTGGTCTCATGTAAGAGGATATTGAAGCTCGTGTGCCTGAAGTATTTCACAGGGTGAAGAGCCATTCCTATAAAATGAGAGGATTTTCATTGAGATATCAGTGAATCCCTTTGGAGGAATCTGACACCACGAGTCTTGGAATTCCTGGCAGGGTATATTTCTCTACTTATTTTCTTTCACCTCTTTCTAATTCTCTCAGCAGCATTTTCTAGTTTTTACCACAGAGGTTTTAATGTCCCTGGATAAATTTATTCCTAAGCTTTCCATATTTTGGATACTCCTGCAACAAGCTCGACATTTATTTTCTCCAAATATCTGTTGCTAGTATACAGACATACGAAGATTATGTAGGCCCTGTATCCCGCTAAATAAGTGCAATTATTCTACCTAGAGTGGTATTTTACTGCTGATCCTTAGGGCTCCCCGTGATGCTGTAGAGAAAGGACAACTTTGCCCCTCTCTCCTTGTATTTATGATTCTCTGGGCCTGGCTGCTCTTCGGCCCGGCCAGGACACAGCAAGAGTTTCATGACAGGGACTTTCACACCTGTGCACCTTTTCAGTCTGAGGACATTTCCTCCCTTCTTCATTAGGGAGTTTTCTTTCTTTTTGTCATCATAAATGGGTGATGAGTGTCATCAAATGCTTTTTCTGCATTTATTCAGGTGAACATATATTTTCCTTTCTTGTATTACTTGCTGAATTGACTAATTGGCTTTAAATACTAAACTAACCTGGCATTCCTGGGGCAAACCTCATCAGGTCCATATATATATATATATATTCCTCAATTATTTAAAAAAATTTTGGGGGGTTGTTTTTTTGGGGGGGGCTTGAGGCAGGGTCTTGCTCTGTAGTCCCTAACTCATGATGATTTTCCTGCCTCAGCCTCCCAAGTGCTGGGATTATAGACGTACGCCACCACATCTCTCTTTTTAATTAAAAAGACACTTACATCTGTGTTCATAGAGGATATGGATTTGTAGGGTCTTTGTTGGGTTTGGTATTAGGATCATCCCATAGAACAAGTTGAAATGTTTTCCCCTCCTCCTCTATTTCCATCATGTTTTAGAACTGCTGCTGTTTCCTTATCACCTCTCTTCTCCAGGGACAAACGTTTCATGTCAGGTATTTTATCATCCACAGGACACTGTTCTGACTCCAGATTCCAGTCCTTCTCTGGAGAGCACTGGTTTTTGTTCTGATAAGCAACTGATTTCCCAGACAATCTTCCTGGAGTCGAGCAGGCTTCACCGAAACTCTTCAGGATGAGTCTCTTCAGAGTTTTCCTTTGTTATGAGGAAAGCCCAGGTCCCAGGGTCACCTCCATTTCCCCTGAGGCTGCAGGCTCGGCCCCTGCCCACTGTGGCAGTTCCCTTCTATGGCCTGCTCAGAGTTCATCTTCACTGTCTTGAGGGAAACAAGCCCAGGACAAGCCGTATCATGATGGCCAGAGGCATGACATTTTCTCTAGTGTGTCAAGAGCAGCTGGGCTGCAGCAGGTGGGCCACCAGCTGGTCCTGAGGCTCTGGTCCCCTGCCACTTCCCAAGTGCTGACCTCTTGGGTGCTCTGCATGGCTTCCTCCAACCTTCCCTGGCCCTGCACACAACCCTGACACAACTCCTGCCTTACAGCTCTCAGCAGCACCATGAGAAACAAGGCCAGCCTGCGAGTTAGATTCCAAGCGCCAGGTCACAGTGCTGGCCAGTGGCCTGGAAGCTGGGAGGAGCTGGAGTTGCAGGAAGGAGTCAGCCCTGTGGAGGAGTGAACATCACCATCACCCCATCTTGGCCACAGAGATCCCTGAGCAGGGCTGTCCTTGTTTCCCAGGGCACTGCTAGACCCGGCCAGGCAGAGAACCCTGTGAAGGGTCACAGTCCAAGGAGAGGAAGGCCGGAGAGGCACTGGACACTGACTGGGACCTAGCACCAGGGAGGCAGGGCTCAGTGGCCCAGAGAAGTACTCACAGGCTGCAGATTAAGAAGCAGCCCTAAGGTAGGGGCTGGGCATTTAGCTCAGTGGAACCACACCTGCCTCCTAAGCACAACCTGAGTTCATTCCCCGGTACCAAAAAAAAAAAAAAAAAAAAAAAAAAAAAAAAAAAAAAAAAAAAAAAAGAGAGAGAGAGAAGAAGCAGCAGCCATAAGGCTCCCAGGTGGGGAGGACCTCACTGGTGGAACTCCAGGGGACTATGGAGGGCAGGCGCATCCCAGGCATCCTGAGGGAGATGGGCAGAGTACCCCCTGTGCACTAGGGGAGCCCAGGACCCACCGCTCAAAGCATCGGATGGGAACTGAGGTACAAGTGAGAGCAACGCACAAGGAGAGACAGGTGTCGGCAGCTACTGCCCCATGCGTGCACACAGTGAACAGATGAGGTGCAAACGACAAGTCCTCACTGCACCAAATATTTTCATAAAATAAGACTCAAGAAGCTGTGTTGTTCAAAGCAAACGTGAGGTTTGAAAGAAAGGGAAGGAAAAATCGAGCATGCTAAAGCCCTGATTCTGTCTTGAGGAGAAAAATGGTTATGGGTGTGTTATCAATGCCAGCAGGGAAACAGAGCATAAGCATGTTGGTTAAAATCTGAAGATGGCCACAAGTGGAACGCGTTTCACCTTCCTATCACACGAAAGAGCAGGCAGGAAAAGCCTGAGCAATGTAACAGAATGGCGACAGTCAGCGTGGACGTGTTAAACAACGGGAGGCAAATGATTTAAAAATACAAAATAAAACCGTATTACAGAGACACTGAACTATCAAGGGCACTGGAAGTTATAGCCCAGCCTCGCAAAGTCAGATGCAAGGTCAAGGTCAAGGTCAAAGCTGAGGCCAATGCCTGGGCTACACAGGCTCAGGAACAGGAGCTAGGAGCAGGAGAAGCTCTGCCGGCAGAGGGGCTGCCAGGGCGACGGTGGGAAGAAAGGCAGTGCACAGGGAGGGTGTGGAGGACAGCGACAGAGGGTTTTCTCTGATCAAAAATATAATGCAAGCCAGGCTTGGTGACACATACCTATAATCTCAGCCACTAGAAGGCTGAGGTAGGAGGATCACAAGTCCAAGGCCAGCCTGGGTGACTTAACAGACACTCAAAAAAAAAAATAATAATAATAAGCGCACCTGCAAGGTACTAGGTGAGGTAGGGTCGGTCACAGATCGGGGTAGCCTTGAGTCTCGCACACAGCGTCCCTTCCGGTCAGATGAGGAACTGCAGTTTTAGGAGCCAGGGGTTAGCCCAGCCACCGTACTGGGCACACGCACTGCACGGCGCTGAGACCCCCTAGACTGGCAGGCTCCGGGCGAGGCAGGGTAGAGGCCATCCTGTCACCGAGCTGCGTGGCCTGCAGGTGGCCTGCAGACACACTTCCCTGCACATCAGGCCGATGCCCCGCACCTGTCTGCGGTTGACAGCTAGGTGCGCCCTGGAACATCTTCAGAGTTGCAATTCTTTTTAGCGCTATACGGTCCAGGTTTTCTGGGTGCAGTCAGTCCAAGTGGGAGCTCTCAAAAACCTTTCTCTCTGAACAAAGGAGAAATAAAAAATTATAACAAAACCGATAAAGTCATGGCGCCTCTATCAAAGGCTAAGAGATCAGGAGGAAATCCTTACCTTCACTTCAGTCACCACAACAGGAAAGGAAACTCACCAGCTTTCCCGTGATAAATAATGGGACAGGAGAAGAGAGAGCAGACAGCAGTGAAACAAACTGGAGCAAGATGAGTGGGATTAAACTTACAAACTCGAGTGCAGGTGCCTTAGAAACAAATGGAATAAGAAGTTTTAAAAACATAGTATAAGTAATGCTGTAGCATCCCCAGTAAAATAACAGACAGGAACAAAATAACAGTAAATACACTGTTAGGAGCAGTTACTCTTTCATCCACAGCTGCAGAGGCCATTTTTGTAAATTACACCACAACGTTTGGTAGTTTTTTAAAAGAAATTTCACCCTACTCCATAAACTAGTTTCCGAAGAAAATATAAATCACCAGAGATAACTCTCAAATTCATAAAGACCCATAACCTTTAAAACCTGGTTATTTTTTAACAAGACTTCCTATCAAGTCACAAACGAGGCCGTGATTTCGAATCCTGTTCGGCTGTGACGCTAAGCAGGCGACTTTAAAAACAAAGCTGTAGACGAATTCCTGCAAAGGAAACATAAAAGTCCTAAATCCGAACTCAGCACCCATAAAGGCTACAAATACTATGTCTCAATAATAATAATCAGGCCCTCGGACGCAGGGACAGCAGTCCCTGGGAATGTGGCTGTGTCCACAGCTAGGCGGGTGTTCCCTGCCCCTCCCCCACCTCCGACTTCCTGGCCCCAGTAAGCAGCGCCTGCTGAGGCTTCCAGGGAAATCTTTTATTTTCTTGACAAGAAGAAACAATACACTTTTTGCCCTTCATTCTTCTTCTGCTTCTCACTTCCTGGAAGTCAGAGATGATGCTGGAAGTACAGCAGCCTCCAGGCACCATGAGGCCCTGTGCCACCATGCAGTGTTGGGGAGCAAGAAGATAGCAGAAATCAGGCTCTCGAGGACATTCTGGAGCCAGAAGGAAGCGCCTCTTGCTCCATGGCCTTTTCCCTGTTTGTATCTTCACATTTAGCAAATGCTACAGTAGTAGCTGTAGTATGTGTTCTGTGAGTGCTGAATTAACATGCTCCTGTGTAAGCTTCTTGGTTCCTGACTGCTCCAAGTCAGACCCACCCTTGCTGGCCTTTGTTTAGGTCAGTGAGGTTACATGTTGAGTATTTGTTGTTGCCCATCCCCCCAGGGCCCCTGCC